CCCCGAGCCTGCTGGCTCAGGTACTCGTGGAGAAACCCAGAAAGAGAAGAGAAACACAAGTGCATGTCTCACCGGCCGCTTCCTCAGCAGGCCTCTGCCCGAGCAAAGGGGACAGCCATGGCTTCCTCCTTGAAAATGGTGCTTCTTGAGAGCTTTCCTAACTGTGGCGGCGGGGGGCCCCCCACCCCCCGCCAAATCGGGAGATGCTGCAGACGGAGTTGGAGGTCCGCAGCGCTTCGGGCAGGCGGCTTCTGCAAACTTCTGGTGCTTAAAATAAAACGCTGAGCTTAAGGGCTCTCAGCATCTCTGACTTAGCCCTGCTGTCCCTTAAGGAGAGGAACCGCTGTCATGTGCTGTGCTTTCCCGCCCTTGGCACTTTTTTTTTCCGTCTGGCACATTTTGAACTCCCTGATAATCGTTCGTTGACTCATCCTTCGTTGTTGATGTCAGGACTTTGCCACAGACCTATCTTATGCCATGGTTGCTCATGGCATCCCCCTCTCCCTTTTTGTTTGCTTCCATTCACCTACAGTACATTTTGCACTGCATGGGACTCCTACACTAGTTGCAAAATACTTCAGGTTTTGGTATGGAAACAAATGTTTATGAGGTGTCCCACTTATAAATGGGCATGGTTCAATGCACCCTGTGTTGAAAATTTGCATTCCTTCCTTTAGCTGTGAGTGACTTTCTGTAGAGATGCATCTCTCTTACAAAAGAGGGTTAATAGTAACAAGTTATAAAATGTATGTGCTTGTAAGTTCCTGCTGGAAACTATAGAACTCTAGGCTTACCTTCCATGTTCTTTCTGTTATGCCACACATATTACATCTTGCACAGACACATTCTTCCTGATACGAATTTTGTCCAATGAAAGGAAATGTTAGACAATTTATAACTGGAAGAGTTTAAAAAGAAAAAGAAATGGAGACAAACAGAACAAAAAAAATTACTAAACTTACTTCACACAGACTGACACGTGCACGTTGCCTCCTTATCTATTGGAAATTAAAAAAAAAAAATATAATGGCTGACAGGCACAGCTGAAGTTCTTACTCCTTCAGTATTGGCCTTCCTATTAGTCTTTCTCAGTCATTTTTCATATTCATTCCAAGAGTGGCTTTTGTAATTAAAAAAAAAAGGCCAGAGAAACAGCTTTAATGAAAACACCATGAGAAAAAGAGAGCAATTATTATTTTTCTATTTTTAGATGATCTTTAAGGACCTGGCAGCATCTGTGTAGATCTTCTTGTACAACTTTACCAGCACATTACATTAATAAATCGCTGACTGTTGTACCAGGCTTTAGAATCATAGAATGGTTTGGGTTGGAAGGGACCTTGAAGATCATCTAGTTCCAACCCCCCTGCAGCGAGCAGGGACATCTTCCACTAGACCAGGTTGCTCAAAGCCTCATCCAGCCTGGCCTTGAACACTTCAAGGGAGGGGGCAGCCACAGCTTCTCTGGGCAACCTGTTCCAGTGTCTGACCACCCTCACAGTGAAGAACTTCTTCCTAATATCTCATCTAAACCTACCCTCTTCCAGTTTAAACCCATTTCTCCTTGTTTTGGCATTAATTGCCTTTATGAAAAGTCCTTCCCCAGCTTTCTTGTAGGCCCCTTCAGGCACTGGAAGGCCGCTATAAGATCTCCCTGGAGCCTTCTCTTCTCCAGGCTGAACAGCCCCAACTCTTTCAGCCTGTCCTCATGAGAGAGGTGCTCCGGCCCTCGGATCATCCTGTTCTTTCTGAATGCAGAAATAGTAACAATTTACTTAGTAGTTGCCTGTCTCCTCCAAAATATGTTCCTTCAAATACTTTTAAAATATACCCTAAGGGTAGTTGTTTATTGGTTTGGAGTTGCTTGTTGAGTCTTGGTAACGGTGACAATTAAAATTAAAAACACAAAAAAAGATTTGGGGGTTGGGGGGGACAAATAGTGACTAGTCTTAAGTACTTACCATCTTGGTTTCCCAACAGTCTTGAAGCACAGGGGCAATACGGTAGAATGCTGTAAGCTTGGTTATGCTGGACTCACTGCACCGGAACTGTTGTGTGAGCAACTTGAGCTGTCCCGCCAGGACAGAAATAACCTCGAGCAATATTTCCCAGTAGTGGAGGCAGTGAGACAGGGCCCCTATCTCCCTGGTTTGATTTCTCTTAGGAAAAACTAACATGCACATCTTGCCACTTTCCAGGGAAGCAGTATCTTTGGTCTCAATGTAATTAATGCATATATTTTTTCATTTGTAGCTAATATATGACAGTTTTGCCCAGTATCTGGTAACAGAGAAGGGTTATGACAAAGACTTGCTGACTCTAGCTCCAGACAGCTTAGACTTCTGGTGAGTACATTGAAAATAACAGAAACTTTCTTCATAACTTCCTTTGTACTGTAACTTTTACAAAGCGTGGAAAACAGCTTACCTTATTAGGCGGTTGTTGTTATGATTGTCAAGCCCAATAGATAAATCCACAATTACAGTTTTAAATACTTGTTTGAACAAGTATTTGTCATTAAATACTTCTAACTTGGTATTTTGGAGAGAATTGAGTATCCAAGTTTGTCTTGTGTGTGCTTCTAGCTGTCTAGACACAAGCCTTTTAGTCTGACTTACTCTTATTTTATATCTCCTTTGTTTTCTACCTTCAGATCAGCTGGTAAACCCAGTAATCATCAGAATTCAGTCATTTTTATCTCGACGGATGTAGTTTTGTTTGTGTAAGGCACAATAATCCCAACAGCCTTCTGAGGAATCAAGGAAAGATGATGTAACAGGAGATAGCCCTTGAGTGGCACATCAAGCACACAGCTATGATGTAAAAGACTGAAATGCAAGTTCCTGCTGGCAGCTCAGCAGGAACTTTGGCATGAGCAGTCTCTGGGCTCAGTCTGAGCAGGAGCTTGGGCCTGAATCTCTGATCTTCCAACTTTATAGGTTATTATCTAGGCCTCGAGGGTGGGAGTGTGAAGGCCAGATAACTGCTGAATTTTTTTAGGAGAAACACAGGGGTTTTTTTTAAGTAATGCATGCATTATTCTGTAACAGTTTTGGTGAGTTCTTCTTACACTTCAGTATTTGGACAGTTTCCAATGAGTTCGATTTCAACTTTAATGAGATAAGCAATGTATCTGCATTTCTCAGATTTTGAGGCCTTTGATGCATGAAATCCTTTAAGATCTAGATATCTCAACCTTGGTCCCTTATTGGAGCTGGAGGCTCATTAATATGGATCTGCAAGCCCATAGTGCTGGTAGCTGTGTGTCGGTGCTACTCACCCAGGTGTCATTCCCGAAAGGCTGGGGTCTGCTTGCTGTCTCCATGGCATATCTTCTTTCCTTTGGATACCATATGACAGAGGTGCCATTACTTTTTCAGTCTTATTTATTCATTATTATTCTAGCCACTGAACTCTGAATTAATTTTTCAAACAACCTAAGCAAATATAGATTCAGTTATCTGGAAGGTGCAGATTTACTAGCAGAGTCAGGAACTCTTGTTGAGTGTCTGTCCTAACACTGTCAACTCTCCACCTTGTTAGTGCTGGCTCGTATGGCAGTGCCTCTGCTTCACATGTTCCTTGGATACTCAGTTGCCTCATTTAGAATGACGTTCTACCTCTGTTTCCCATAATAATTGGTGTTATCAGTCTAGTAATAATAAATAGAGGAGTTGCCACCAAGAAAAAAATAAATTTATTTAATAGAAGTGGCTTAAATATCACTTTTCTTAGTTGTATATGTTTGGACCTTAATCCTCCAACCTTATCTATATGAACAGTCACTGAACTCACTGAACAATGGAACTGGATTTATTTAGTAGGAATTTGCTATGTAAGTGAAATCCAGTCCTCACTGTAGTAATATGTATTTGCATATATACAGCATTGTTCAAACATGGAAGTATTTGAAGGGTTGTGGTTTTGCTGCTTTTGTGTAGCATCATTGTATAGATTCTGTAACTGCATTTCTCTAACTTGATATATAACAAGGCATTCCTCTGAAGGCATTAATTGTTTGTTTCTTCCTTAAAATAAAATTGTTCTTAGTTGTAAAGGCTTGGTGTTGGACATTGAAGAAGGCAACTTCCTGAAACTTGCAGAAGATGGAACAGTTTTAAGGTAATGTTGACAATATTTATATTGTTAAACAAATACCCAAATTGCATCCCCTTTCTCAAAGCCATATTTCAATTTTATTAAATATTTAAAACACTAATTTTATCATACATTAAGTTATTATATATAAAAATTCAGATATCCTTTGGTAACATGGTGCGCAGTTTCTCTTAATGTTACATAGCAGTCTTTTCATAATATTTCTATGTTAGCTGCTAGTAAAGAATATCTCATTTTTAATAAACATCTAAGTCTCTGAAGCCATATTGATCTTGAAAGTAAATACACTTTTTCAGTGGCTGCCACTGCACTCTTTGTCCAGTTCTGCTAAGATCCAGGGTAAGGTTTTTCTTTGAACTGTGAGTAACCTGACTTCGGAGTCAATGCTAATGACTAATGCTAATGATGGGAGCACTATTGTCTTTGGACCATACACATTCAACATTCTGCAGGCTTACAGCATATAATTTGAATAGCCTGAGGTAAATTAAACACAGCAACTGACACATTTGCTTTCAAAATTCTGCTTTTTTCTCTTAAAAACTGTATTTTGCCTTCAGTCAGCGTTTCAGTACATCCTTGATGCCTCTTTCCTTCTCTTTTATTTTTTTTAAGCATAGAAAACTGCTATTTTGAATCACAAATCTGAAAAGTAAATATATCTAAAGTATGTCAGTCCAGTTTCCCTCTTATTTTTATCGAGACTGAAAATCCATATAATTTAGTACTCAGAATAGACTGTAGGTTATTTTTCTGATAGCATGTGGGAAAAGGAGCTTGAAGTTGCTAGGGAAAATCAGATCTCATTGAAAGGGAAGAAATACCTGAATCTCTGCTGTGTATCCCGAAATTCATTTAGTACCGTGAATTTTGGTGTACTAAATGCAGAATTCAAGACTGGAGGATATGCGACAGTAAAAGGAAGAGAGATACAGGATTACTTCTAGCATTGCCTGCATTTGCTTTAAAACTGGAATCTGTACATTCTTTTGGGGCCCAATTTGATGGTCAAGCTAGTTGATTTTTAATTCCTAAAAAGGCCTGTGTGTACTTCCATGTTACACAGCTGCTTGCAGGGCACAAGCTAGCACTTTTCTATAGTTCTGCCCTGCACTCTGTGAATGTTAGCAGGCTTCAGAATGATGTATAGGCTTTCTGCACTGTGTTTTATTGTGCAGTGTATATTGATAGTTCAAGTATAGCGAGTGTCCTCACACAATTGAGAACATTCGAGCAATACAGAGTGATTGTGTTAGCAGGTGAGGCACAGTAGCTGTGCTTCCAGCCAACCAAACCTCTGTGTAGTAGGGCTTTTATCAAGGACTGTAATGTATATGATAAAAGCTTAGGTCCTGGAAAGCTTCTGAGTTACAAAGAGTTACTTCTGATTGACTTGCATGCACCTCAGTGTTCAATTGCTGTTCATTAGTGCACTGTTCATTACTGTGCACTAGGAGTAGTTTGGCTGATTTCCTTTTTTTTGTTCCCCCTTTTTTTTTTTTTTTTTTTTTAAATATAAATATATATGTATATATATAAAAATAACATAATGCATCAAATAGGGCAAGCCATGGTACAAAGAGCATGACATCCGAAGAGATCCTGGAGACCTATGGAAGAAGGGAGTGGAAGCATTTTAATACAGTCAGTGGAATGGTTTCCCGCTCAGGTAGCTATATACCTTAGCATGTTCTCTTCTTTGACATTGCCCTGGCCCCTTCAGTGTCTCATAGTATTTGTTCTTACCACAAATATTTAAAAATAATTGAGCTGAGAATTACTGGAACAGGTAAATATTTTTGGGGAGACTTGTTTTTTTGTATTTTCAACTTCTAATACTAGAGTTCAGCTTAGGTTTAGATTACTAGTGATGAGACAAATGAGCTGACATTATAGGAGTGTTTTGGTTATAGAGATGGGCACGTTGTTCCTTGATGAAGTAGACTGAAATTGCCAGTCTATCTCATTTAGGACGTATTTGGCAAATCTTAAATTTTTCATAATTGTTGACTCATTACCATTATTGCTGTTACTGGCGGCCTAGGTGCAGGCGCAAAGAACAGAACAGATCTGGAAATAAAACTTCTCCTCCTGCAGTTTTAAGTTTCTTGGTTTTAAGATGGAAGTCACTTCGAAGGCACTGTGGCTAGGTTTGTGTTCTCACTCTGTGCTTCCTCTCCGTTTTACTTTGATCTTGGCAAATGTGGGTAATACACATGAAGTGCTCAGTTAAGTTGCATTGTCCTGTGTAATAAAGAGATTTTCCTTGAGATTTTGCTGACATAAACGTGTTTGTGATGCATATTCTAAACTGCAGGTAATCATTTGCAACAGGGTAGAAGAGAAAGATTTATTTGGTCATATAGCAAATGTGCCTTTCTTAGTCATTGAAAGGTGCACTTGGTCTCTCTTGTGAATGTTAATCCCTGTTTTGCTGACTTGTCTCTTGGGTATATTGAAGAACAGCACTGACAATATCATGAATACAAAAAAAAACCCCACTGGTTAAGTCCTTTCACTCCTAGGAAAGAGTCATTGAGCATAACCTGGATCTGGGGGGACATTTGGACCCTCCTGACTTTGTTCTGGTTTGGGGGCTTATATAATAATGTAGGTATGCTTCCCCATGGGCTAAGGCACTGGCTGCTGCATGTGTGTGCAAATGACAAGACTGTGTGTAAGATCTGTCCAAATGTTTCTGAAACAACTTCTCAAACCCTTTCTTTTTATTTCCACTGGTAGAGAAATAGTTATTTTGTAAGAGTTTAGTGATACTGACCTGACTCTTAAAACTTGTGGTTCTCCCCCATCTCTTCCACCTTAACTTTTAGAACCTCATTTTTAAGTCTTAATGCCATGATATAGATGAATGACTTTTAGTTGCCAATTATGAGAATCAGAAGTGGGAATAAAGGCTAAGAAAGATTGGGAAGCAGGCAATACTTATAACTAGTAAAATCCAAAAAGGAGCTTATACTCTTATTTAAGTATATTTTTAGTTTGTGATTAAAGCACACAATAAGGATTTAAAAAATAGAATTTGTTATTTTATTTTTTTTTCCAGCTAAATACTATTTGTATGATAATTATTTTGACCTGCCAGGAGCTCTCTTGTGTGCAAGGGTTGTGGACAGCTTAGATCAGGTAAGAACTGGATTGTTTGAAACTGTGTTGCATTATCTTTCTCTTCCCCCACCAGACTTCGTGCATGCATTATTAAATGCATACAAATAGTGTACTGAACAACATCAAGGTCATTAGCTTCTTTCTTGTTTGTAATTATTCATGTCAGACTCAGTGTATTAAAGTTGTCTCTGAACCTAATTGTGAGCTATATGGCATGTTCAGAATAAAAGTACTTCCACAAGAGGGCACAAATAACTAGGATATGAATAGAAATGCACTGTTTTCTCAAGTTTACTCTCTGATATGCAGAATATAGTTCTTAAAATCTGCTGTAATTATACTTGATGATACTTGAATTTAATGTAATGTAAGTCTTCAGAATAACGGTTTGCTAATTTGCAAGGTGTTAATGAGTTGAAAGCTTAATTCCAACCTTTTTTTAAACTTGTTTTTATCTTAAATCTATTGTCTGTATACACAGATGTAAACACACCTCTACAATAGTATCCTATTTTTTTTCTCTGCTAAACAATAAGTTAAATTCTCAAGGCAGAAAATACAATTGCCTGAGCCTTTTTCAGTGCTTTGTAGATAGATAGAATGTCCTAAATCCTGCCTTTGAAGTTTGGTGCTAATTGATCTGGTAGTGTTAAATAAGGCTTGAATCTTTAACTTGAGTGCAGCTGGGGGTAGAAGAGGGTTCTTCTCATACACTAAGTATGTTATGGTTGGACTAGATTATTGTATTGGTCTTTTCCAACCAAACTATTCTATGATTCTGCTGTTTTCAAAAGACTACTGGTGTAATCTTCTAGCTACAGATACCAAAGCACTGCAGCACTGGAAATTGCAAATACTAAACTTTGTCTGCAAAGTGAAATTCAGAGCTGTGAGATGGGTATCTGGGATCCCTTTGGGTATCAGCTGACTTTATGCTTTAGCTTCTACCCTGAAATAGCATGCTGAGTAGATTTCTGCCTAAGTCCAAGTGCTGCATGAAGAGTTAACTAAAGCTAGCTTATCAGGAAGCACTGAGGACAGGTAAGCTGTAAGACTCTTAATTTTGTGTCTGGTTAATCTCCTTCCTCTACTGTTCGCAGCTTAGAAAGCTCTCTCAGATGTGACACCTGTATTGTATTACTTCCTTTTATATTTAATTTAGACTTTGCATGAATCACCTATTTATTGAGAGAGAAAGCATGTTACAGCATGTGTGTAATAAGCTTGCACATTCAGTTACTAGTTTGCAAGTTGCAACACTGACCCTGGATCAGTGCTGTCTTTAGCCAGAGAGAATTAAACCTGTGCCGTTTCTCCAGAGAGCTACCAGAAGTGGGTCATGTGTTCTCTTTATCAGCTAGCAGCTCATGAATATTTTACTGGATGTAATTCCCTGGAATGTTACCATCAACCAGATGAGAAGGATGCAAGCAGGAGGTAGTAGGCCTCTCCAGCACTCATGCCTACAACATGCTGCATCCTAAGGGTTAGAAACCATCGCATTTTCTTCCTCCACGTTTCTGAAAGGAAGTAGAGGCTTCTGTTTCCTGTTCTAGGAGCCTGTTTAGTAAGGGCTATTTTCTTACCATTTTTGGAAAACGTTCTAGGACCAGGAACACTTCCTTCAGGAAACAGATGAGAGAACTGCTAGATTTGGATTCAAAATGAGTTTAGACATGAGTTGAATGCTGGGCTGTTTTATACTGTTAAGAATTAATCTGGTTTTGCTGTGTCCAGAGCCAAAGCTCTTATGTATTTTCAGACAAACCAGAGGAGCTTCAGTGTTTTGGATCTTCGCATTGAAGCTCTACACAAAATACTTCTTTGTCTGATACTTCAGCTAATGAAATCACATTTGATAATCTGCATGCACACAGTTTTCTGTCTGCTTCCTGGGAATCAGTCTGTTTTCTTGTACATCAGCTGTAGATTTGCAAGGAATTAGTTTGACTTTTTTTTTTTTTTTTTCTTCTCTGAGGTCAAATGTTTTGAAGGAAGTGTTTCCATTTTTAAACTAGCATCCATCTGTCCTCAAAACAGCACTCTAGGGAACTATTATAACTCATTGCACGGATTTTTTTTTTTTTTTTAAAGAAACCAACAAAAACACCAAAGTCCCAAACTAAGGAGCCAGTCAGGCACGTGGAGTATGAGGGGAGCGGACAGCTGAATCCGTCTATCTCAAGGTTATTGCTAGCATAGGCTAGTGCCATCTTCCCAAAACACATAGGTGCTCCCCAGCATCTCCTGAACATGGCTTTGAATAATTACCTTGGTTAGCAGCTAAGTGAAGTTTGACATAATGAAAGCTTTTCTCTCTGTTAGTCCTTTTATGTATTTCTGAGGCAGTTTGCTATAGGAAGGAGAAAAAAAAAAAAGTTAAAAGCTGCACTACCATTGTGTCTTTCCTACTGTTAACCCGTAGAGCTGGTGGATGATAAGCAGAGTGCCATAGTGTTTGTCAATCCTGCACAAAAGGCTTGTTTGTGTAACTTGCTGGTTGTGAAATTAAGGGTGGACTGTTCTTATGGAAACCTCCATGGCAGATTAGGCCTGAAATAGCAGTTTACTTCAGTACATATAAACTACATGGGTTTGGTTGGTGATGTTAAGGGTTTGGGGTTTTTTCAGTTTTTGAATGTTTCCCTCTCTAGAAAATGCTTTATGCTTACAAAATGGGCCATTATTCAGGTATCAGTACAGTGGTCAGGACATAGAGGGTCACAAAATCTGCTAACAATTGCATTGAAATTTATCCTAGTGTAGGTGTGGAAAGCCTGTAACAACACTACGTGGTACTTTCCACAGTGTACAAACTCAAAGTGACTGTACCACCTGCTTTGCTGCTGCCCGATCCCTTGTAATTCTGGGCACCTCTTGCAGGCTCTGATCTGTAGCCAGTCCTCTGATCTGTAATACTGGCTGGCTGTGCAATTGCATCCGTGTTTAATTCAGTGCTCCTAAAATTTGTGAAGTTTAAGAGTGCTGTGGGGCTCAGCTGGTTGAGAAGCTTTTCCTCTCCCTTGGTGAGGTGCTGAAAGGGCAGTTGAGGTCAGCTGGAGCTCTTCTGTGCCTGGGCGACTTTCTAGGAACAGCGAGAGACTGTTCACAAGCGCAGATCACCTTCCCCTGTCCTTCTGCCAGAGCTGGGGTTTGGCAGGCTTCCGCGTACAGCGTAACACGGTGCTGCTCAGCCCGGCTTCTGGATGAGTATTTCATACGGTGTTTGGGGTGGAGTTGTTGGCAGAAGGGCATTACCTCTAAATTATAGCAAAGGGTTTCGCCGGTTCTGAGGGCAGAAGGTGATACAAGTACCAGGCTGTAGATAATGTCAACTTGCTATTTGCAGTTCTAGGCACTTCTTTTTCCCAAATTTCAGTGGGATGGTTTGTTCAGTAAGTTGCTGTTCTGTCTAATGCCCCCTTTTGCTGTAACGTTTTAGAGTTCCCCACAAATATGAATCCTTTCTCCTTCCCCTTTCTTCCCTGCACCCCACCATATCCTTCTGAAGTAGGGAGATAACTTGTCTGGAGTTACCCAAAGTTCACACCCACAGCTGGGTATGAGTCCTGATCTCAATTCTACTAAGACTGGCTTACTCAATTTTGAAAATACTTTTGTTTATTATAAATAACATTCCTGTTGCTGTTTCAGTATGAAAGCTCAAAATAGCTGATACTTGATGTAATGACTGGGTTCCTTTTGACACTTACAGCATGAACGTCAGAAAAAATATGACTTCTGGAAGGATGTGGTGGCTGCTATCCAGCACAATTATAAAATCTCAGCTTTTAAAGGTAAGTAGGTTCACTGAAAACTTACTATAATAGCTGAAATTACTACATTTGATTTCCAAAACAAATACATTTGCAAATACACTGTAGGTTATTCAACACAGCTTTTACTTTTCGAGCTTACAAATGGTTGTGTAGTAGACACATGTTTATCCTGAAACAGAACATCTTTATCATTGCTATTTCTATTGAGCAGGAACTGTTTTGCTGTTTTTAACAACACTTGTGATGTGCTACTTCACCGAATTTAGAGGAAAAATGGTTTCTCCCCATGAATAGTAGGGTAATGTGGACATCCTTGAACTGCATTTTGATTCTGTTCCTTGTGGTATTGTACTCCTAAATAAAATCAGAAATACACTGGAAAAAAAAATTAAAGTAGTACTAATATTCGAGATTTTTCTTTACTGCTCTAGTTTTGATTAGAATTCCTCAGGCAGTACTGACACAATGGTGAGGATATTGTATTCCTATTCTTTAAAACGTTTTAAAATTCTGTTATTTTGTTATAAATTTACTAGAAATTGCAGAGGATTATTTTTTTTTTTTATAATAGCCATCCTCCAGCTAAAGCCAACCTTATAATATTGTAATATAAATTAGATTTAGAAAACATCTTGGATAGCCTTCTGCTAGAAATCCTTTTCCTCCTTCACAGACTTAAACTTCTGAGTTTCTATTAGGCATATAAAATAATAAGTTGAGAATAAAGGCCAATCATCTTGCATGTGTGCACAATTAATTAAAATTATTTTTAACTGTAGTTGTTTTGGATTGGGTTTTTTTTTAATATTATATGCAGATCAGTTCAGAATTCTGTATAATTATGCTGATAGTTATCTCTGATAGAATTATCTGTTAATGCAACATTCATTAGGGAAGGGTGTAGTTTGGACCTTCTTAAAACTTACCTTTTGTTCACCAGGGCTGTACTACTTTCTGTATTCCTTTCAAACAAAAGTGCCTCAGAGAGGTTCCAAACAAAAATAGAATTAAAAGACAGGGAGTTATTCTTAAAATGTTTTTGTTTGTTGTTGTTACTCTGTTTCCGTTAGAGCTTAGAGTGTGGTTGGTAGTTAAGAATTCCTCTAGGAACTCATACATAGAGGAAATAACAAGTTAGTTGTTAGTTTAGTTCAACAAGGCCAAATGCCAGGTCGTGCACCTGGGTCGGGGCAATCCTAAGCACAA